AATGTCTATTTTAGTCAGCTTTTTCACTGCCATGACCAAAAGACCAACAAGGTGAAAAAGTTTATTCAGGGCTCATAGTTTCAGAGGTCTCCACCTCATGCCCCTGGACTGTGGTGAGGGGAAGGAGTTTTGGTAACCCCCTGCCAACTGTGATCCACTTATATGTGGATTACTGGGATAACCCACTTCTGAGGTATTGCCTATGTTTTTATTTTTAATTGTAGATGGGGATATGCTCTATAAATTATTTCTAAGTCTAGGTGTGGTCTCCACAAAATGGCTTTCCTTCCCAGCACTATTTTCTGCCAGCAAGTTAAGTTGAATTGTGCAATGTCCTTGACTGCCTTGATGCTTCTACCACTTTTTAACTCTGTGCACCTTTCTTTGTAACTGTTGCTAAGGAAGTAGGCTTGTGAGTTTGCCTGTGTCTTTCTCCCTTTGTTACTCCTTCCCCTGGCCCTACCATAGTCAGCTTCTGGATAAATGAAATAATTCCTTATTCTTTGATCCAATAATCTAATTCCAAGTTGCCCAAATATTAAGTTATCCAATGTTGAGTTTTAAAGGGTTTTCTCTGCCACCCACCTCTATGGTCAATTGTTCTTTCATTTCTTTTGCAGAGGAGTTGCTGGTTGCTGCCTTGGTCTGCTCTGCTATCTTCTTTTCTTATCTCAAATAATTTAACATTATTAATCTTTCTGTCATTTTCATATATTTTTGCTTTTTCTAACGTGCCTGTGGATTTTCTGTTGGGAGTAAAGTTTCTTTTAGTACATTTTTTTTTTATTCATAAGTATGTTTTTAGAGGGTGTTTTCCTCCTGGGAAATCTCAATCTAGTTGGATTTTGGAAGTAATACTTTGAAGTGGTTTTGCATTTCCCTTTCTCAAACTTTCAAGGTCATTATCTTTAGATGAATTTTAAATTAAATTATTGACTAGTAGTCTTTTTTCCCATCATAAGTCATAGAAATTTTAACTCCATTCAAGCCTGTGTCAACAGATGCCTGGGTTTTTAACCCTCAACTTTTTATCATGAATAGTTTCAAACAGCAGTTGAATGAATGGAATAATTAATTTCCACATAACCAACATCTATATCTAAGAATTGTTAATGTTTTGGCCAATTAAATGAATAGTATTTGTTGTACCATCTGAAAATATGTTTTATATATGACACCTTACTCCCAAATACTTCACTATACATCTTTTAAAATTTTTATTCCTCTACAAAATTATAATACCATTAACACTCTTTGAAAACTTAACAAGTGATTTTCTAATATTGTACATTATATTATATTCGAATTACCTCAATTATTCTCAATATGCTCATTATAGCTGTTCTGTACAATAGGGATCTCATAAAATTCTACTTGCTGATTTAAAAATGTTATTTTGGTAGGAAGGATGGAACCCAGGGTCTTGCACATTTTTAGGCAAGTTCTCTATATATGAGTGACTTATTCAGAACTTTTTATTTTTTTGAGACAGTATGTTACTAATTTTTTTCATATTGGCATTGAACTTGTGATCTTTCTGACTCATCCTCCTGAGTAGCTGTGATACCAGGTATGTGCCACCATGCCGAGCTAAATATTTGTTTTTTATTTAATATCAACAGATTTTTATGGGGCAAAGTGAGATACTTCAATACATGTATATTGTGTGCAAAGATCACACTGGAATAATTAGCATATGCATCATCTCAAACATCATTTTGTGTTGGAAATATTCAAAATACTCTCTACCATCTATTTGAAAATACTCAGTTCATTACTGTTAACTGTAGTGATCCCACTGTACTATAGGTCCTCTGTACCCATAAACTGTGTGCTTTCAGAACCTCCTTCCTAGACTTTTGTAACTACTATATTATTTACTTCTATAAAATCAATTTTTAGCTATGTATGGAGAATATGCAGTATTTGTCTTTCTGTACCTGACTTATTTCACTTAATGTTTTTCAGTTTCATTCACATTGCTACAATGTGACAAAATCTCATTTTTCATTAGTGAATAATATTCAATTATGTATATATGCTAAAATTTCTTTATCCATTTATCTGTTGATGGACACCTTATCTGATTTTGTATTCTGACTACTGTGAGTAGTGCACGTAAGAGTGAAGTTTATTTCTTTGGTATGACAATTGCACATTTTAAAACATATACCTAGAAGTGGGATAGTTGGATCATATTTATGAATTTATTTTTAGTTTTTTGAGGACATTTTATACTTTTTCCATAATGGTTGTACTAATTTACATTCCCACCAGCAGTGTATAAGCAGTATATAATTTCTACATATCCTCACTGTGATTTTTTTTATTTTTTGCTTTATTAATAATAAACATTTTGACTAGGGTGAGGTGATTTTTCATTGTGGTTTTAATTTGCATTTTGCTGATGGTTAATGACATTGAATTTTTTTTTCTTATATGTATGGGATAATTTGTATTTCTTCTTTTAAGAAATATGTATTCAGATTGCTCATTTTTATATTAGATAATTTGTATTTTTGTTGTGTTTTTTAATTCCTTATATATTCTGATAGTAATTTCTTTTTAGAGAAATAATTGGAAAATATTTCCTCCAATTCTGTAGGTTGTATCTTTATTCTGTTGATTGTTTCCTATGCTATGCAGTAGCTTTGAGACAGTACTTAAATAAAACCCTTCATTTTTAGCCTTTCAAAAAAAGCAGGTAGATAAACCATATTCTTACTTCTTTTTTGGCAAAAGAAAAATCACAATGTGGCAATAACATTTCTTCCTGTTATCAGTTTTCTGATTTGTCCCTGCATAGTATTTGTTTCTTTTATAATGTAGTTGCCTTCTCATTTATTTTTAGAACATTTTCTTTGCTCAGAGAGCATGAGTTGTGTGTACATTGCTTGTGTGCTTAACTAAATATGTGCTAATTAACATACCATTGGGAAACTATTCACAGTACTCAAAAAGGAGCAAAATCTATATAGCACACTGTTATTTGCAAAATGGTCATGAGGCAACATGTAGCAAATAACAAATAAGGTACACCATCAATTTCTTATGAGCTTCCATGCTTTCATGATAGATCATGTAACTTATATGACAAGCATCCAATACTAAATCCATAAAATATTATTAAAGTTTATTTTTCACAAAATCATAAGGAAATGTAAATAGAAGTTTCAGTATTTTGTCTATATGCTCTAGTGTTTCTACTTTTTTTTTATCAACCAAGGTGCTCCATTTTGAAGATCACTCTCTAAGAGATCCATTGACTCTATAATTTAAAGGGTTTGGGTGTAGATTCCATCACCATTCCCAAGTGTTTATATCATTCTCTGAGAAAGGATTAAGCTTTGATGCTATTGACATGTCTTCCTATGGGTGGAGTGTCTTGTTCTGCCTATTCACATGTTTATCTAGGTAACATCCATTGGTCAACAGATCAGAGTGAATATAACATGCACTTGACCCGAATTGAGGATTCTGCTGCACAGTTCAGCTTACAAGGAGCCACTCAATGATTGTGGATACCTTCTCCATCCTCTTATACCCTGGTACTGTGCTGAGGGACATTGTATGTGTGAACATCTTCCTCACCATGCCTCCCACATGGGTTCCAGAATGAGAAAACATTCAGAAAGGATCCAAGTCAAGTTATAGTCAACTTTAAGTAGATCTTTAAGTCCACATGTTCTGTGTGTGGGAAATAAATGTTACAAAGCTTTGGGGTTGTTTTGGACACAATGTAGTCCATTTGCAATGTGAGTTATTCTAGGAAGAGAGACTAACTTTAGAAACCTAGAAACCTATTATGTTTAAGGAACTTGAATGAGAAAGCTTCTTAGAATCAGTTATTATTACTAGAAGGAGGGTGTGTGTATGCACAACTATCTAAATGCTTGTATTTTGTTAAGTTCCAAAATTAATTGCAGAGAACATAAAATGCCTTTGTACATTGTAGCACTTTGTACATTTCCCTACTAATTATTTGGTCCTAAATTAAGCACTATATGGGACAGGGCAAAATAGGTGTTTGCTGTAGGATGGGGTGAGCAGGTGGGATAAATGTAGCACTGGGCCTTAGGCTCAAGCAAGGAAAGGTGACAATGAAGGGGTTTGGTGTGACAGTGGTATTGGAGCCCATGAAAAGTGAATAAAACCTCATCATGGTGGTGGAGTGTCTTCTGGTGTGTATACTTAGAGCCTGAGCATGGTGAGGAGGCTGTCCACAAGTGGCAGTGGCCCAGAGCAGAGTAGCAGAGGACAGGAGAATTGAGGAGGTGTCCCCATAGGGGAAGGCTGGTGTGAGATGTCAGTCTGTGAGAAGAGGCCATCTATGTGGTGGTGTGGTGAGATATGGGGAATGTAACTTAAGCAGGATTGGGAAGTCATCCATGCATGAAGTCAGTTTTTGTGAGAAGTCAGAGCTCCCTTTTGGGTGAGGAATGAGTCCTTAGAGAGGGGCTGCCTGGCATGGAATCTCAGCATCTGGGAGCGGTGAGTAGACACTCCTCAACAGTGTTTTTTCCAATGTTGTTTGGGATTCAGTGCCTAAGTGGGGTGAGGAGGGCATCCTTGGAGAGGGAAACCTGTGTGGGTTTCAGAGACCAGTCAGGGTAAAGGGGGTATCTCTGTGTAGAGTCCATTGTTGAAATTCACCACGTAAGCAAGGGACAGAAGAAATTCTTGCTGGCAGTGGAGGACCTGGCATGGGATGTCAAAGCCCAAACAGGATGAAGGAAATGTCTGTGCAGAAGATAGTCATGGTGTGGGTTTCAGAGACTGAGCTGGGTAAGGAAGCTCTCCACATGATGGCATAGGCCCAAAGGGGAGTCTGGTCCTTATATGGTAAGAACTTTTATCAGTGGGAGTAGCCTTGTGTGGTCTGTTAGAGCTCAGGGAGACCATGTGGTGGTGAGAGATATGCTTTAAGAATCTGATCTGTGTCACCCTTAAAGAAAAGTAGAACAGTAATATAGCATGACCCTGAAACACCCCTTTCTGTTTCCAAGAAACCACTCAAATTAAGGGAACAGTATGAATGTTCCTCGACTGAAATATTCAGGTAAATACTCTCTTGTAGGACACTGACTTTTTTTCATGTATGTTGTAAATTTGAGGGTGGCTTAGCACGAGGTGTCAGAACCTCAACAAAGTGAGGAGAATGTCTATTAGATGAGGTGTGGTTAGCTGGCCATTGTGGGAACACTCAATTAGAGTGAGGAGGGCTATTGTGCAGGGGACAGTGGTTGGCCTAGGGAGTAAAAGATATATCATGGAGAAAAGAATGTCTAGGGAAAGATGGTACAAAAGATGAGAAATTGGTAACATCCAGAGTAAAATCAAATAAGTTAAAAATAAGTGAATAAGTGTAAAGATAATGAATACAAATTTCTTTCTGTCACTGATGTGATAGAAGTGTGACAGAAAGAAATGTGAAAATTGAGAAAATGAAAATGAAATCTGAGCCATTGAATTAGAAGTATTACTGTGAATTTAGGGTTTTCAGTATATGTTGATACAAAAATAAATGTAAGGGTAGGGGGCATAGCTCAATTGGTAGAGTGCTTACTTTGCATGTACAAGGCCCTGGGTTCAATCGCCAGCAACACACACACACACACACACACACACACACACACACACAAATGTAGAAATGCAATGGAAACAAATATAGAGATGAGAAAGAAGGAGAGATGTGGAGGGAGGGAGACAGATATAATAGGAAAAAAAAAGAGTTAGGGGTGATTACAAGAAGGGGAATCATTTTGGGAGATCTGAGGGTAAAGAACCTGGGCATGAATTCAAAGTAACCCTCTGGACTGGTCCTCCATGAAAGATTTAGTTTTTGGACTGCTTACATCTTATCCTTTGGACAAAAAAAATTCAGATTTTGCACTCAAGTTCTTTCTCTTCTATATGTGATTCCATTCAATTTTCCTAACTGTTAAGTATAATCATATGTACCTTCCAGAGCTGGTTGTTAATGTGATGTGGGGAGTAAAGGTAGAGATAAGTATGAAATGAAAGATGCCCTCCTCTTTTATTATGGCTTTCAGGAGTTCTCAAGGTAACCAGTAGCAAAATGAATAGAGATTCATGATGGAACTGATTATGAACAGCAGGGGAATACAGAGATCACAGAGGAGCACTATCTGAAAATAAATTTTAAACTTTTGCTTCCCCACAATGCTAAAGGAAGGTGGCTCTGAACATGGGCAGGCTGTATTCAGGAGATTTGTATCAATGATAACCTTAGAATGTAGTACAAAAAGCTGCCTTATCAGTCAAACATGATGATATGAACACAATGTGAACAAGTGTTGCTCAGGTGGTTGGCTAATAAGAGGTTACACTTGCATGTACACTTGCATGAGGGACACTGTATGTGTGAACATCTTCCTCACCATGCAAAACATCAGTTTTGCTGTTGAATTTATAGAATGAAGTTCTCAGAAAAGATTTCTTTAATTGCTTGATTCCTCTTTTCCTTTCCTTCCTATTTCTTTTGAGTAACCACTTTTGTTATATTTTTTAGCTATATTTACTATGACAGCTGAAATTCTCATCTGGTTGTCAGGAAGATTGGACCTCTGTGGCCCAGTGGTTTCACATGTTTTCAATCTTAGGGGTATGTGTATATTTATTACTTCTGCTTTCATCTAGTTAAGTGGTAGAACAATTTACTCTCAGGCTGGATTCTCATTTGTAATATGTTTTAAGAAAAATATTGCATGGGATTTCTGAAAAAAAAGCAGAAGGTTTCTTCTCAAGATGGCTTTGGGAACATATTATGCTGAAGTGAATTTCAAAAATGAATTGAAGTCCTCAGGCACCAACTCAAATTCTCCTGCAGGTAAAAATCATTTTCCAGTGGTCAAAGTTAATTATGAGGTGAAAGATGAAGAGACAGTTAATAAGCAGGCCAGAGGTAATGTTAGTTGCTGTTATATCTGAGTGATCATGTCTGGGACACCCAGGAATCTCTAGGATTGTGCTGCCTGTAGATAGGAATTAAGGTGTTGTAAAGTTGCAAATGGGAAAGAAAACGTCCATAATATTTTCTTTACTATTATCATTTACTATTAACAGACATTGAATTCTATTGTATATCCTTTAAGATATGAATATATAGAAATGTGTGTACCTATATTTCCAGAACTGAAAGAATATAATACTGAATTTTTCCTCCTCATCATTGACAATATACATAATTTTTTTTTTTGAGAAAAAGAAAAAAAAGCTTATTACTTTGCTAGCAAAGGAGAAACACAGGGGATTCCTGTTCCAGAGGCCATGTAATAAGAATTGTAATGCATTCTGTCATCATACATAAATAAAAATAAATAAATGAATAAATTAAGACAATATACATAATTTTAAGGAAAGTGTTTCTCCTATTTAGTGCTTTTATCTGAATGGAATGTGTCCCCACTGACCCCCTCATCTTTGGTGGTGACCAATTTTAGGTTTTATGTATCCTAAGCAAAAGCTTGAAGGTATGCCCCGTGTCCAGAAAATGGTTTTTAACCATGAAATAGTGGCTAAAGAGGTTGACTTTATTCTAAAAATATTAAACTTGGTTAGAAAGATTTATCTTTTATAGTTTACTTATAAATGGATGCAATCTGAAATATTATTTTAATATGTAATAAATAATAAGCAACCATAATTAAAATATTAATAAAGAAATTATGGTGAAAAAATGTTCATGATACAGTATAAAAGAAAATAATGAATCAGAAATCAGTAAATATGTGTCAATGAAATGGAAAAATGCACATATATGTTGTAAACACTTCAAAAATTGCTGAAGAGACATGTGCCAAAAAATTAACAATAGTTATTTTCAATGATAGAAATTTTTGTTTTTGGGTATTTTATAATGTTTTTGTAATAAACATTTATTTTTTAAATTTCCATTTTCATGTTATTTCAAATATTCACAGTATTAGTGATTGTGGTTTATAGAAGAAAATTTAAAGTAATAAGAGGAGAAAGTTTCCTTTTATTTTCACTGTGACCAAAATACCTGATAAGAACAACTTACAGAAGAAAGCTTTATTTGGGATCAACATTTCAGAGGTCAGTCTTTGGTGAGTCAGCTCCATCACTCTGGCTCTAAAGTGAGGCAGTACATCATGGTGGAAGGGCATGGCAGAGTAGAGTTGTTCAGCTGATGGCAGCCAGAGGATCATGGAGGTTTCCACTGAGATTTCAAAGGAAGACTTGAGTGTTCAGACAAAGTGAAGCTGTGTTGGAATCCCTTCAGGATTCCCTTGAGAGGGGACACATGAAGCTGTGAAGGGGAAGCTGAAGCTGGAATGGAGATCTCAGGGATTAAGATATGCCAGTAATGTGGAATGTCTGCTGAGGAAAGCTGTTGGCTGTAGAGGGAGTCAGCCTAAGAAAGCGACCATGTGAATTACAACCAGCAAGGAAATTTAGGTGGTGCTGCAGAAGCCCTTTGAAGATTACATCTCACCACAATATTCCCCAGATTCTGGACATGGAGTTACAGAAACTAATATCTGCGTGACTGAGTTTCACTTGCTTTGGTTCCATCCCTTCCTCTATATCATTATTCCTCCTTTTTGGAATGGGAAAATTTACTTTATGTCATTGTATATTGGAAGTATATAACTTTTGATTTTTACAGAGGCTCAAAACACAGTGTTTGTCTTGAGTCACAGAGGAGACTTTGGATGTGTACTGGAACTTTGAAAATTATGGGGACTCTTGGAGATGGACTAAATGTATTTTTCATTTTTTTTTGTGTGAGATGGATGTGATGTTTTGAGGGCCAGGAGTAAAATGTTATGGCTTGATTATGAGATGTGCTCCAAAAAGTTTATGTGGCAATTCATAAATGTTAAAGAGATAAAACAGTTATGAGACCCATAACCTAGCTGGTGGATTAATGTATTTGATGGATTAATAATTAGAATGGATTGCTGGTTGGTAATTAGGTGGGGTATGGCTGAAGAAATTCGGTCACAGGGGCATGCCTTTTGATTATATACTTTTTATTTCAATATTTTTATGGATTAATTATAATTCTACACAACAGTGGGATTCACTGTTACATATTCATACATGTACATGATATAACAATATAATTTGATCAACATCATTCCTCAAGGGATTATATTTTTTCCCTGGCTCCTTGGTTGTTCTTTCTGCTTCCTGGCTATCTTGAGCTGAACAGCATTCCTCCACTACACTCTTCTTCCATGATGTTCTGCCTCACTTCAGGCCCAGAGTAATGGAGAAGATGGACCATGGACTGACACCTCTGAAACCACAAACCCAAAATAAAATTTTTCTACTATAAGTTGTTCTGGTAAGATATTTTGATCACGGTGACAAAAACCAACTCACATAGAGGAGGAACTGGAAATAAGGATAGAACTTATTACTGATGAGGATAGAATTTATTACTGATGAATTAATTTGATTTGTCTTCAGATCCCAGGGAAAACACCATTCCTCTCCAGAGTAATTTTGGTTTTTCCAAGCTTCTTCTTGCCTTGTTGCTGATACTTTTCCTGCTGAAGGAAATCTTATTGTCTGTCTCTTTTATCAGTAAGTATGCCAACTAAGTCAGTCAGCAATGCCTGCTTTTCATGAATAGAAGCTATTCATTAGAAATTGACATTTCACAATGATCCAGACCTTTGAAAAATAAATTTTTGGGGGGTTGAGTGGGTGGATAGAGTTCCTGAGAATTCACTGGGAATTTTGCTTTTGGAAAAACAATGGGATTCATCTTCATTGAGAGAATTTGAAAAGTAGATATATGTGTATGTGTTGGTTTACAGAATGAAATCTATGAGCCATCAGTTCTATATTAGATTCTTTGTATGGACACATCTATAATTCCTTAATTGTATTTATAAGGCTAGCCTTATTTGACTTCACAGACATTTATATTTTGGGATGAGCAGGTGAACATGCAGAAGATGTCAAGAAATGTTCCAGGAAGAGTTCTCCAGTGAATTTCCTTCTAATAATTTCTGTCTTGGTCAATACTGTGATAACTAATTTAACAAATAAGTAGATTTATGCATATCTTGTATTTCAGAGTTTATCAAGTTTTCAAAAGTCATAAATGTCAGCATATATTAAGATACATGTTTTATTCATTAATTTGGTAATTTGATAAGTAACAATGGCCATACATATTGTTTGCTAGGTGCCTTGTTAGAGAATCCAGAAATAGCCACAGCCACTGGTGTCAAGACATTAATAGAATAGTCAAAATAACCAGTGATTACAACAGTAGATGGGAAGTGTTGTTCAGGTAAGAAATAAGCACAGGAGGCTGAGATAGGTTTGCTGAAGGAGGAGACATCTATGACTGTGTGTATCAAAAATAACATAGACATATTATAGTATCAAAGATTTGGGGGAAATATAAACATGGCATATAGTACTATGTGAAAAACTATGAAATGAAGCTGGTTGTGGCAGTCATAAACAGAACTCAGATCATGAAGAATGTCATGTACCATTATAAAAAAATTTTGATATTTTATAAAATATCCTTTGCTCCTTAATAAAGAAGTCTAAAACAGTGGCTTGAAACAGCTATTTATTTAGCTCATGCATCTGTGGCTTGGCAATTTAGACTGGTCTTATTGGGAGTTTCCATTGGTCCTGACTGAACTCAGTCATGCATATGCTGTTAGGAACCAATCACAGGCAACGTGGCTTTTGAGGAAGAGCATGTCAGCTGGAATGAAAGGGGCAATAACCACATTTCTCTCATTACTCATCAGGATAGCCTGGGTTTGTTCACATGGCCACTGGCAGATTTCCAAGAAAGAGGGAAAAAGAAAACCAAGCACAATGAAGTTTCAATTTCGATTTAGCATGGTTACTTTTGCATGTTCTTTTGGCCAAATGGAATCTTAAAGTCAGCTTATATTCTAGTGGTGAAGAAACAGACCCCACTTGTTGATTGTAGAACATGAAAAGTCACATTGGGAAGGGGTGTGAGTATAGGGCGGATGGAATATTGATGCCCATCTTGCAGTGAGTCAGTCCTGGCCAGCCATTGTGGAATTCTGGGGAAGGAATTGACATAGTCAAATTTAACTTTGGGGATATGCTTTTACTGAGGTGTGAAAATGGATTTATGAGGACAAGAGTGAAGGTAAGGAGAGGTGTTATTTCCTGGAAAATGGATTGATGTAGACAGCATTGCGTTAAGTGAGATAAACCAGAGTCAGAAAATCACTGGTTGTATGTCTTTTCTCATATATGATAATTTGGGAGCAAAAAGAGAAAAAGGGGTGAGCACTCATGAAAATTGAAGAAAGAGTAGTAGAGGAAGGGGACAGGGTGAGGGAAGAGAGGAGAGAAATTGGAAGTACTAGGAATGAAATTGACCAAATAATATTATGAGCACATGTGATTATGTAACAGTGCATCCTATTATTATGTATAATTATAATGCACCAAACAGATGCTAATTCATAATCCCATTTGAAACATTGAGAGCATCATTTAAGGAGGGTGGTGCTATTGAAGAAATAGAAGAAAGGTAGCTTTGAATGGTAAAGAAGATATAATGAAGGAGGCCAAAGCTTGATGATACTGGGGATTAAAGGACCCAGAGAAGTTAAGTGTGAATATATATTTTGATCTTGTAAACTCAGCAGTGAAGAATTATTCAAAGAGGTAGGCAATATAGGATGCATAGCAGGTTTTTTTAGAAAGATGATTATTTACATTTTGGGGAAAATGTGTCAAACCACAAATGTACATGTCCAGTGGCAGGCATATTTGCTTGGATTTTAGAAAAGAGGTCTGGCATTTTGGAAGTCCTTCACATAATGACAGCAAGTCCCAGCATGGGAATATATGCTATCACTCCAGAAGAGCACATTAAGCAAGAAGTAGGGATTAGGATAGAACTCTTGGAAATGCTACATTTTTTAAAAAGTTGAATGGAGGAAGAGAGCTGATGGAAGAGGATAAGAAGCAGCAGCAAGAAAGCGGAGGTGGGAACAGGTAGAGCACTGCACCAAGAGCTACAGAGGAAAACCCAGGGTGAATGATAGCAAGAAGGTCATTAGAAGACGACTAATAAGTGCTCCTAGAAAATTACTGATGATCCATTTCAAGGATTGTTTTAATAAATTGATGAAAGCCAAAGCCAGAATATAGTGGGTCAAGGAACAAATAGGAGGTTAGAAGGAAAGAGGAAATTTAATTTCTTGCAGTAATTTCTCCCAGGGTCTTGCATATGCTAGGCAAGTGCTGTAATACTGAGATACCACTGTAACTCAGAAAATTCAATTTCTAGGGGGAGGTGTGAATTAGTTCTCAAATGGGAGAGACCTGGTGCACTGAGGAGTTAGAATCAATTGTGATGAAGAGAGTTAAAAGACAAAAGAGATGAAGCACAATTTTCTCTTGATCAGTCTTGGGGTTTTTGAAAAACATTTTTTTTTTCTGTTCTTTAAGATAAACCAGAGTTGCTTAAAATTAGCAAATTCTTCCTTCCCCCAAAGTCCCAGGTGGTGTACTTCCTTAAATAACTTCCACTTCCTTCCTACAATATTTAGCTTTTGTTGGCATCTTAGGTTAAGTATTGAAGAACACTGTGGACAAGATCCTTTAGGTCCCATTATGATGGAACTGTCATGTCCTCTTTCAACTCTTCATCTTTTAGCTCTTCCTGAGAGATACCTAATCATTTAAAAGTAGTAGGATCATTATTCCATTGACTGTGGGGTCAAGGGGAAACTTTTCCTGTCATGCTCTGTCCTATCAGGTAATCAGACATTTGTGGATTTTGTTTCTGTGTAGAATGCAAGAAAGTAAGGTATGGAGCAGTAACCTAATGCTACTGGCAAAATGATTGATTTATATTCTATTTTACAGCTTTCTTTCTAAAAAATTCTCAGCTGCTCAAAGAAAAAAACTATGAAAGTTCTACAAAAGAAATGATTCATACAAATTTGGAGTGTGTAAAAATCAATTCAACCATGAAAGGTAAAACTTAATGTGCATAGAATTCAATTACTGTAGTAGGTAATGATCCCAAATCAGAATTTATGATTACCAGGGAGATCACAATAAGAAGTGGAATCTCATGATTGTTCTAAGCTACAAATGTATTATATAATTCATAGGGTCTAAAATTCTTGTTTGTGAATTCAAAGTTGTTCATGTGAAGCTTAATTGTGAAACATGATATACTGGTGTTGCATTTATTCAGCCTGTTTTTTTCTGAAGTTTCTGTGCAGTGCAGCTCCTTTTCTCACATGTCAGTTAAAAAAATTGATGACAATAATGATAATGGCTATATTATTGTGAGATTGAATTATTTATATTAATATATGTTATTTAAAGACCTTATTTCCATTTACAAAAACATAAGCATATGATATTGAAAGATCCAGTTTTAATTCCATCCTGCACACAGTGACCACTGTGTAATTAAGAGTATTTGCTACAAATAATGAATCAATATTAACATATTATCACTAATTAAATTTACAATATTTTTGGTACTGGGAATTAAACACAGGGTTTCACACATGCTAGACAAGTCTATCACTGAGCCACCTTCATATCCCACAGTTCTTGATTTTTTTCATAAATTTTCAACTATTGTTCTTTTTTCTGTACTAAAGTCCCATGCAGCCTGTGAAATTACATTTAATTGTCATGTCTCTTATTTGCTGTGATAGTTTTTCAGACCTTCCATGTTTATGATGACACTGACAATTTTGGGGAATACTGTTCTATATATTGTAGGCTGTCTCTCTATTAAAAGTTGAAGTTTTCTAATGGTTAGATTGGTATTATTTGTTTTTTGGGAGGAAGGTCATAGATGTTAAATGCTATTTTCATCACATTATTTCAAGAGTATATATTATCAAAACAATTTTTAATAATTGATGCTGAACTTAAAGCTACTTTTCCGTCTTCCATTTCCACACTGTACTGTTTGTAAAGAAGTTACTATGCATAGCTCACACTTTAAGATTGAGGAGTTATTCTTGACCATTAGGATGGAGTACGTAGGGTTGTCTGGAGGAACAGATGCAATATGTATATGACAATTTAGTTTAAGGATTTGGCTTTTGCAATTATGGAGGCTTGAAAAGTCTAAAATTTGATCTGGGTAAACAGCAGGGTGGAGACTCAGGAAAAGTAGTAGTTTGAGAACAATGACAATCTGCTGCAGGACCAGGAAGAGCAAATGTTGCAGATGAAGTCTAAAGGCAAGTTTGCTGGAAAATTCTCTCTTGCCTGTGGGGGGCATTCTTTTGTTCCATTAAGATCTTCAACTGATGGGATGAGATCTACTCACATTTGGAAGGCAAACTTCTTTACTAAAATTTCACAAATTAAAATGTGATTCTCATTCAAAAATATCCTTGAAGCAATAACCAGAATGCTTGATAAAACTAGTATATAAAATTAGCCATCAAGAAGTATCTATATAATTTATTTGGAATTCTTAGGCATTTGAGGTTTGTCTTTTCTATTCCATTTATTAATTTACTCTATCATTTATATCTGCATGCACTCATGTCTATTTACTTTATATTTCAGATTGTAATCCATTGCCACTTCATTTATCTTGTTATTCTAACTTTGACTACTGGGTGGTCTTTCTGTTGGCTCTTGTGGCCTTTGTCATTTGCCATCAATATGTTTTTTGTTTGTTTTTGTATTTTACTTTCTGTAACTACAAAATGCTCTAGACTCATGTTGTCTGTTTTCTGTCCCTATCTAGAATTAACCATTTCTATGAAGAGCCCTGATTCCTTTTATTGAAGAATAATATCCTAGAAATTTTGATATGTTGTATTTTTATTTTCATTCATTCAATGTATTTTTTAAAGTTATCTTTGACACATCTTTAACTCATGGGTTATTTATATGTATTATTTAGTTTCAAGTGTTTGGAGATTTTCTGTTTTCTTTCTTTCATTGATTTCTAGTTTGCTTTCATTGTTGTTGAATTACACTATATGATTTTAATGATTTTAAATTTCTTGAAGTATGTTCTGTATCTCAGTATGTGGTCTATCTTGTCATAGGCTCCATAGGCACTTGTAAAGAATGGGTAGTCTGTTGGTGAGTAGACTCTTCTAAGAATGTTGATTGGATTCTGTAGGTTGATAAAGTTTTTGTTCTTCAACGGTTTTCTAATTTTCTACCTGGATTTCTTTAATTTTATTAATCTATTTTCAACTTTTCTTTCCACTTGTGTGAATTCTTACTTCATATATTTTGCAAACCTGTTGTTTGGTATATTCACATTTGAAATCATGATAAATGAAGTTCTGTTTATTGTTTTTATTATGTTTCTGGTGTTTGGTTGGAAAATTCTGGTTGTTTGTCCCTCCCAATTCACTTATTTCTCTGTTACCTCCATTCTGATGTTAAGTCCTATACTGACATCTTAAAATGTGATTATATTTTTCAATGATAAAATTTCTGTAGTTTTTTTATATCTCTGTTTCTTTGTTGAGTCTGCTGTTTTAAAACTTTGCTTGAAGAATGTTTGCTCCTTCTTATTAGAGCATCTTTATTATGGCTGCTTTAAAAATCTTTGTTACATAATTCTAACATTTTTGTTTTCATGATTTTTTACATCAGTCGATTATCAGTTTTTATTACATTTGAGAACTTCCTGGTTTTTGGTGTAAAGAGCTATCTTTTGCTGAACCTTGGACATTTTTGTATTGAGTTTTCAGAGGTGGGGTCTTATTTAAAATATTATTATGTTTTTGCTGGCTTTTCCTGATACCACTTCAGCAGGAGAAATGTTCCCTGATACATGAATACCTGATGAAGGCAGACTTGGCTCTTTGTTACAACTGGATGAAGATAGGATAAGGGTGCTCATGTGGTCTCCTTTGGTCCTTAATTTTAATAATAAACACACTTTAAAAATAGATTTTTGTATGTTGCACTTATATTTCCTTCTTCCCGATAAAGGAAAAGTCTGGAGCTGTTGACCAAAGAATTGGAAGTCATTTAGTTCCAGTTGCTACTTTATTTCTTCTAAACAAAGATCTTGGAAGGAGAGTCAGGAGAACTGCTCTACAATGGAGGCTCATCTGGTGGTGATCAACAGCAAGGAAGAGCAGGTACTTTCTAAGAGACAATGGAGTCATGAGCCTGTCTGATTTTTGTACATATCCTTGCTAAGAAGGAATATTGGTGCTGTGACAGATGACTTTCCATAAGACAGATAGGAGAGGCTTCCTCAGCCTTCACATTCCACACCTTGTACCTTCTTCAATGTAACTAACCTAACTTGAAAGAAATTGTGGAATTAAAAATAATACCTGGGGCTTTAGTGAAAGGATGAAAATAGCAGCTTGTTCTTTCAATATGTATATGTTTTATAAATTATTAACTGTTTAACAGAGAGGGGTATTAAGTTGAATAGGGAAATAAAGTGAAATCAAGAGTCACAGCAATCAGGAATGAAATTTAAGAATCAGTGAAAAATAATTAAATTTGTAAGAATTTAATTGTGCACATATTTGAAGAATGCTCCTTTAGTAACAAAAGTGGGGAAATGAGTCTGAGATAGGAATTCATTATGATTATGGATAGGAATTGCTTCCATAGTTAATGAAAATATGATACTTCTCTGCTTAGCTGAGAAAACCTGTATTTCTGGGAACCCCATCTGGCTATTCCTTCTTTCCCCCCTCATTTCTATATAAAGATCTCTGTGGAAACATCACACTATAACCTTTAATATGTATAATAGTTATGTGTTAATCAAAAGATTTTTGCTACATTTTAAAAAATTGGTCCATTACATTTGTACACATTGATGGGATTTTTTCTTTACTAAATTATTTATTTATTCTAATTAGTTATACATGATGGCAGAATGCAATTCATTTTATATTACACATATAGAACACAAATTTTCAAGCCACTGGTTGTACACAAAGTATTTCTACACCATTCGTGTCTTCATACATGTACTTAGGGTAATAATGTCTAACTCATTACACCGTCATTTCTACCCCCTTTCATGGTCCCTTTTCCTCCTTCCCCTTTTCCCTCTCTAAAGTTACTCCACCCCCCCACCATTGCCATTATAAGTCAGCATTCTCATATTAAAGAAAACACTCGGCCTTTGGTTTTTAGGGATTGGTTTACTTCACTGAGCATGATATTCTCCAACTCCATCCATTTACCTGCAAATGCCATGATTTTATTTTCTTTTAATGCTGAATAATGTTCCATTGTGTATGCATATACGTTATCTACTGAAGGGCATCTGGGTTGGTTTCACAGTTCAGCTATTGTGAATTGTGCTGCTATAAACATTGATATGGCTGTGTCCCTGTAGTATAGTGTTTTTAAGTCCTTTGGGTATAAACCGAGGTGTGGGATAGCTGGGTTAAATGGTAGTTCCATTCTCAATTTCTCAAGGAATCTCCATACTGCTTTACAGATTGACTGCACCAATTTGCAGTCCCACCAGCAATGTATAAGTCTGCCTTTTTCACCCACATCCTCGCCAACAATGTTGTTGTTTGTATTCTTGATAGCTGCCATTCGGACTGGAGTGAGATAAAATCTTAGTTTTGATTTGCCTTTCTCTAATTGCTAGAGATGTTGAGCATTTTTTTCATATGTTTGTTGATTGATTATGTATCCTCTTTGAGAAGTGACTGTTCATTTCCTTGGTCCCTTTACTGATTGGGTTTTTTTTTTTTTTTTTTTTTTTTTTTTTGGTGTTCAGCTTTTTGAGTTCTTTATGTACCCTAGATATTTGTGATCTACCTGAAATGCTTATAGTAAAAATTTGCTCCCATTCTGTTTTCTCTCTATTCACCTCACTGAATGTTTCTTTTGCTAAGAAGAAGCTTTCTAGTTTTAATCCATCCTATTTATTGATTCTAGGTTTTAATTCTTGGTCTATAGAAGTCTTATTAAGGAAGTTGGGGCCTAATCTGCCATTATGGAGGTTTGGGCCTACTTTTCTTCCACGCACAAGGTCTCTGGTTTAATTCCTAGGTCCTTGATCTATTTTGAGTTGTGGTTTGTGTGTTGTGAGAGAAAGGAGAACTAACACCAATACTTCTCAAACTATTTTATGAAATAGAAAAAGAAAGAAAACTTCCAAACACATCATATGAGGCCAATATCACCCTGATTCCAAAAGCAGACAAAGACACATCAAAGAAAGAATACTTCAGACCAATATCTCTAATGAGTATATATGTAAAAATCCTCAATAAAATTCTGAAAAATCAGATACAAAACATATCAAAAGATTTGTGCACCATGATCGAGTAGGGGTCATCCCAGGGATGTAAGGTTGGTTCAACATTCGGAAATCGATAAATGTAATTCATCACATCAATAGATTCAAAGTTAAAAATCATATGATCTTCTCAATATATGCAGAGAAAGAATTTGATAAAACAGAGCATCGTTTCATGTTCAAAACCCTAGAAAAACTAGGGCTAAGAGGACCATTCCTCAACATTGCAAAGGCTATTTATGTTAAGCCACAGGACAACATCATTCTAAATTAAAAAAAAAATTGAAAGCATTCCCTCTGAAATCGGGAACAAGGCAGGGATGAACTTTTTCTTTTTTTAAAAATTTTATTTATTTTTTTATTTTTATTTATTTTAATTTTTTATTGTTGGTTGTTCAAAACATTACATAGTTCTTGATATATCATATTTCACACTTTGATTCAAGTGGGTTATGAACTCCCATTTTTACCCCGTATACAGATTGCAGAATCACATCAGTTACACATCCATTGATTTACATATTGCCATACTAGTGTCTGTTGTATTCTACTGCCTTTCCTATCCTCTACTAGCCCCCCTCCCCTCCCCTCCCCTCTTCTCTTTCTACCCACTCTACTGTCATTCATTTATCCCCCTTGTATTATTTTTCCCTTTCCCCCCACTTCCTCTTGTATGTACTTTTGTATAACCCTGAGGGTCTCCTTCCATTTCCATGCAATTTCCCTTCTCTCTCCCTTTCCCTCCCACCTCTCATCCCTGTTTAATGTTAATCTTCTTCTCCTGCTCTTCGTCCCTACTCTGTTCTTAGTTACTCTCCTTATATCAAAGAAGACATTTGGCACTTGTTTTTTAGGGATTGGCAAGCTTCACTTAGCATAATCTGCTCTAATGCCATCCATTTCCCTGCAAATTCTATGATTTTTGTCATTTTTTAATGCAGAGTAATACTCCATTGTGTATAAATGCCACATTTTTTTTATCCATTCGTCTATTGAAGGGCATCTAAGTTGGTTCCACAGTCTTGCTATTGTGAATTGTGCTGCTATGAACATCGATGTAGCAGTGTCCCTGTAGCATGCTCTTTTTAGGGCTTTAGGGAATAGACCGAGAAGGGGAATAACTGGGTCAAATGGTGGCTCCATTCCCAGCTTTCCAAGAAATCTCCATACTGCTTTCCAAATTGGCTGCACCAATTTGCAGTCCCACCAGCAATGTACAAGTGTACCCTTTTCCCCA